ATATTTAGATGGATAATATTTTGACAGATAAAACATGGATTCTTTTATAACAGTGATTCTCAACCACCCTGCTGTAGCACGATATATATATATATATATATATATATATATATATATATATATATATATGTATGTGTGTGTGTGTGTGTTTAGAATTAGTAATAGTGCAGCATTACTATTTGGAAAAAAGGAATAACTACTGAACTTTCTTTAAAATAATTCTTTTCACTATTCTTCAATTATGTTATTCTAAATACTTTGTTTTAATACACATTTTTTAAAAAGTATTTTTATTTTTTTAATTTAATTTTTTAAAATTTTCCTTTATTTATTCCTTTTTCATATAATTTTATTCAACATTCTTTGTTTAATTCAAAATTTTTACAAAGTTATTATGAAATAATATTGTCAAAGTTTCAACAAATAGTTGAATAGAAACATTGAAATAAATTAAGTTTGTATTTGTGTGTGTATTTCTTTTAAATCTATGGTTTTATTTCATGACATTTAAATGTATACCCTTTAAAGATTTGGCTGAGTGTGCTGCGATATTTTCATTTGTTCCTAGGTGAGCTATTACTTAAAATGGTTGAGAAACACCGTTTTCTAACAACAACAAAAAATGCTTCTGAGAGATAATAACTTTTTTCAATAATGAAAGTGTATTAAATATTACATTTTTTTGCTGCAGTTTTCGTTGTGAAAAATGGTTTGAACCCACAATGGCCACACTTGGATTTCTTTGTCCTAAGAAAAAGTCTAGTTGCCGCTTGAGGTCAATAATTTGAGCACGGTGCTGAGTTAGCAATTCCTGAAATTGGAAAAGGATAAAATCAATCTTTATGAATTCAGTAAAGGAAATATTGATTATAATTACAATGAAATTATTACAATAAGTATGGAGAGGAGAAAATACATTTTCTCTTTGCAAGAATTTCATTCACTTAAAATTGAGTGAATCAGAAATTCCCACCATATGATAAAACATTGTTGTAACCTAGGGAAGGTTACTGAATAGAATAATCAAATGAAAGTTGGTAAAGAATGATAATACTTAGGACAAGAACAACACATATAAGATTCGCTAGTGGCACGTAGAAGTAGTAGTCAACTGCTAGAAATGAGTCAAGTGAATTCCACAATGAATCTCCAACTGCAGACCAACATACAGTATTTACTACTGTATTTATGTGAATGGGGACATACCCATTATCATCCATAGGTATGTTACAACACTCTCCCCCTTTTTTGGATTTACTCTGTACAGAGTCAATATTTTTTCTTTTTGGGTTGACTTCAATCCTTTCTGTATCCCTTCTCTTTCTTTTACCCCGTCTCTTTTGGACTTCTATCTATGGAGCTTCTCTGAGGGATGGGTACATTGAAAATATCAAAATGAACCTTCATAGGTTCAAACTCATCTGGAGTAGTGTTCTCTTCAGCTGAATACCTACTTTTAATATGATTATAGTGCCTCTTGTGCACCATTTCAAAACCTTTTACTAGATACACCATCCTGCCAATTCTTCGGACAACAATTCCGACTTCCCAACATGTTTTATTTGACTAGTACAGATGGTAAAAAACTTTTTGACCAATTTTATAAAATCTTTTTCAGGTTTTTGTACCACATGATCATTTTTTCTTATTGTGTATCAGCTTGTCAAAAAATGATTGTATTTTTTACACAGACATAATTTCTGCCAGAGTCATGGCTGAAGACTCATTTCCATTTGGTTTAAGCTTATACACCCGTAAAAAATGATGTAATGCAGCATCTGTGGATCCACCACTGGTTTTTTTTAGAGTCCTTTTGAAGGTATCCACAAAATGCTCTGCCTGGCTGTTACTTTTAGGATGGTCAGGGGCAATTGTTATTTACTCTACCACAAACATTTTGTAAAATTCCTTAAATTCTTTCAATGTAAATTGAGTGCTGTCACAATCAAATCTGGTACTCTGAACTTCATGAACAGTTCATGTAGAAACTGAATTACTACTAGCATGGTTGGTTTGCTACATCTGAATATCTCTGACCATTTTGAAAAACTGTCTACAACAATTAGATAATACATCCTATTAAGTGGACCAGCAAAGTCAATATGCAGATGTGACCATGAGCGGTCAATTTCTGACCATGGGCTGAACCTAATTGGTGGTGCTTCAGCCACCAAAACACAGCATTTGCATGACTTCACCAGACATTCAATGTCTATCTATGCCAAGCCAGTATATGTAACTTCTCATCAAACTTTTCATTCTGGATATACTAGGACATCCTGCATGAAATTCTTTCAGGATTCTCTTTTATAGTGGCAAAGGCACCACTACTCTTTCTTTGTACATAAGTATACTCCCAAATCTGCTTTAGTCCTGTCTTTAAGCTTTTTCGTCATTTCAGTAATAAATTTGTCCTCCAATGCTTTACTTTTTATATCTTCCAACATCACAGGTACTTCCCACATAGTATTGCATAGTATGTTTTTTATCTCTACTTCTGACTGTAGAGAAGCAATGATCATGTCTTCTAAAGGTTCATTATTCCTTAGAGTAAGTCTGGATAACCTGTCTGCGGGACTTAATTTACATGATGGTAAGAATTCCATTTTAAAGTCATAATTTAGTAAAATCGTTCCCCATCGTAACCTATTAGCCGTATGAGTTGGTATCTTTATTTGGACCCATAAGTAGCTATCAACAGTTTGGGATCTGTTTGTAAAGTAAACCTTTGTGAGAAGGGCATTTGACATTATCTGTTTTCGATTTTCTGGAGTGCTGGCAAATGTGTGTTTCTACTGACTACTTGTCTCTACACATAATGGAAAGGTTGTTTTTATAATCACGAGTGTTAGAATGATGAAATATCTTTCTTTTCTATCATCCCTGATGACAATGTTATTTTTAGAATGATAAAATATCATCATTCTGAAACATAACACCTTCAACTACAGATAAAATGTATTTTTATATTTTCATAGCATTTTTTTTGGTTTTGTTTGGGTGGGGAGACTATTTGCCCATATCTGGGACCCTAACAGGTGCTACCACCCCGGGTTAGAGTAGAATTGGGAAGAACAGCAATTAAGAAGTGGTTCCACACTTCTCAAAACCTCCAATCTCCTGATCAGAGCCCTTGCTACCAGATGTAGTTTATCATCATACCCAGGACTAATGAAATTCTGAAGAATTGGGAACTATGCCAAAAAAAAGTTGAGAAATGGTTTTATAACATTATTCTACTGAAAAATAATTATGTGTTTACTATTCTAAAGATTAAATAAAATTTAATAAAACCAGAAAAAATGAAAAAGAAAGAATGTTTGTTTTGTAGTAATAGAATAAATAAATTTAATAAAGTGATAAAACTTTACCTGAATCCAGACATCATTAATGACAGGAAAATTGACAACTTGTGAAAGATTTTGGGTGAAGATCTGTATCTCTTTGAAAAGATCAGCTTTGATGGTTCCATCCAAAGATAGAACAGCACAAGTACGGTAGTTACCACCAAGTTCTTCTTTCAGCATCAAAGACAGTTTGGAGCTTCTGGAAAGAAATAATCATCTGCTCTAATACTTTCATATGCCGAGAATATCAAAGCACACATCGGTACAAACCAATTTCACTAAGTAAATCCACAGACAGATATACAGCACTTATATAACAAACATTTTTTATGAACAAATAAAATAAAATGTTCAAACTTATCTTTTGTTTACTTTTAATGCTTTCTTTTTTAGATATTGAACATTTTGCATACAAAGGCTTCCTTTTCTCTGTACCATATCCCTTCAGGATGTTAGCAATCACAGCTCTTCACAGTCCCTTGTAGTGCTTAATAAATTTATCTTTTGGCTATCTCTTCCAAACCTTGCTCCGCCATCCATTTACTTGAGTTGGTTAGGTAGGTTTTCCTTTGTCTCTCTTGCTTTCAATCTATCCTGTGAGTATCAAATTTTTTAAGCCTACTTTCCTCATTACGTTCCCTAGAAATTTCAACTGCCTCTTCCTGATGATAATTAGAAGTGTCCTTTTTGTTTCCATTGTCTCTAGAACTTTGTCATTGCTTCCATGTCAGTCCATGGTATTCTCAGCATCCTTCTGTAGAACCACATTTCTGTTGCTTCAAGTCTTCATCTGTGAGAAGAGAGTCCAGCAGTTATTGTCAATATAGGAGGACTGATATTATATAACAGTTCAGTATTATTTTCTTTGTTTCTTTCTAACAATATTTTCATGTTTCTTAATACTTTGCTTAGCTTTTAGTACTTGCTTCAAAAAAGGCATCTTCCAGTGATACACTGATCAATGTTTTAAGGAGAGGGTCTCAAATACATTTTATTATTATTATTATTATTATGATTATCATTATTATGATTTTTTTTTAAATTTAGCTATATCTCTTGATTTTTAATTTTATTTAAATATGTTAAGTGTTCATTTTCATTTCTGGCTAAAAATTTTATCAACTAATTAACTTGCTTTGTGACTGAAATAGCCTGATATTTTTTTACTGGTGCTAATTTCCCTCCCAACATTGACAATTGGTATAAACCAATATTTTTACCTTCATCCATTCTAAGCAAACTATGTTTAGTAAATACCAAAAATCTTCACTAATAAAAATTAAAACTTATTAAAACTTAAAAAATTAAACTATTCTGATTTTTTTTTTTTTTTTTTTTTAAATATAAGTGCTTTATATTTTAAAAACTTTTAGTTGAGAAATGTTGTTAAATCTGTTCAACTGCAGGGTAATGGCATGTATGATTATTGCACATTCTTCCTGATGCTGCAAAATTTTCAGCACCCGTTGTAGTAAGTTTAAATTCTAACAACAAGAAAGGTTGTTAGTTTTTTGGAAGGTATCTTTCACCTTTTCAATGCACCTTCAGATTTCTGTACTCCATTTTTAATCTTCTCTTATAACACTTCCCAAATTGTGGAATTTCTCTACTTGCTTAATTTTGATACCTCTATTTTGTAGCTAATGGACTGAAACTGAAGCTGAAACACCAATTCTTGTCCAATCACTGAAGTTAAGCAACATCAAGCCAGGTCAGTACCTAGATGAGTGACAACTTGGGAATACCAAGTGTTGTAAGTTTGGATGTGCAGGTGGATAACAGCTCAGAAATAAAAAGAATCAGAAAACCAACTTCCAATTTCATTCTGGTTCATTATATTGACTTATGTGCAAATATCCTTGGGAAAGGCATGAACCCACCTCTTCTCTCTATCCAGCTAGGAATTAAATAGTAGGACTTGCAGAAAGAAAAAAAATCATTTTTACCTCCAAAGAAATTCTTACAAACCAAAAATATTTTCTGGCTTTAAATAATTTGCAAAAGGTTGGTAAATCATAAAAAACAATCAATCTCTAGTTCGTAGATTGCATCTTGGGTTGTCCATCTTGCTAATGTCTATACATTCTAACTTCTTACATTTGGTAGTCCTTTCTTCTCGATTTACTTCACCACATTGTCTAAGACTTCCTGCAGCTTTCTTTCTGTATTTGTCATTAACATTTTCTCATTTGTGTATCTTATGTTATTAAGATTGCACCCACCAATAATAAATCTGGGTAGGACTTCTAGTCCTCTTAAGATCATATTGCTGTAAAAGTTAACCTTTATCACTGTGACCTCATTTGCTATACAAAAAGTTTATCCTGCCACTGAAGGTGACTCTGATCCCTGAACAATAGTGTTTTTGAGTTTCATAGTTGTGTTGTCATATCCTGCTATGGCAACAGAAAACAATTTTGAGTAAAATTAACAATAAGCATATTGCAATTGAGAGGCCTTGAAAAAGAATGCAGTGGAAAAGGAAGTAATATTAATAATGCAGAGTGCTAAAGGTTAAATAAATCTGATGAAAAGAATTACATCCCTTTTTTTGCTTACACAATTCTAATGAGACACATCACATAAAAGGGTATTTGAAGTGGAGTGAAAGTTGCAAGATTGTGGCAAATCTGAAATTATGATAAAAAAAAGAAAGCAGAATCATGTGCTGATGAATACAACATTTCTTTTGACACTTCAAAGACCAAAGTTAGGGACTTTGCTGTGTTGAAAAACCAAAGTATATAGATGAACAGCTGCATTTATATATTTTGTATATGCAGACTGACTTTTTTTTTTATCTTAACTTGGTAAGTAAATAGATTGTAGGAGTGTCTGTTATCCAAACGATCACAGAGCAGAAATTTGTGGACATATCACTTCTTGGTTATGTCAAGAACTTTTCAGCATCTCTTATATATATATATATATATATATATATATATGTGTGTGTGTGTGTGTGTGTGTATGTTCTTTAGAAATTACTTTGTTGACATTTTGGATATGAAACAGAGCAGATATGGGCTTTCAAGAAAAATCTGAATGAGGGAGTGTGCATTCCTTTAAAAGGGAAAACAGAATCTTACTGGGCTGTGATGCCCTCTGTGGCTGGATCAGTCTAAAGCACACAGAATCAAACTGCAGTTTCTCCTACAAAGGGGGATGCATATTTGAACCTGGCAGGAGAGTATGTTTTCCTTAATAAGATTCTCAAGGGTGCAGACCAATAGACATAATACTCAGTGTTTAAAATAAAAATGGGGCATCTATTTCAAATATGGGTATCCACTAACAAATAACATTTTATGTAGCAGAAATATATATATATATATATATTTGATGCATGTTTCATTAAATAATATAGACAAGTGTTGTCTATTTATTTTATGTAAATTCTTTTCATATCGTCTGATAAGCTTAATAACATTATCATTAAATGATGCAGACTGACTGAAAGAAAATCACAATATTGATATATATATATATTTCTTAATCATCTGTTTCTGTTTACATGGAAGACTTCCAAGCAACGACAAACTCGCGCATATAAGACACTGGAAGTGAAAATCGCACCACAGCTCATGACGTCACACATGACCATGCAAGAATGAAAACGAGAAGTATTAAGTATAGGAAGCCGTTGGTATAAATAGCTTCTGTTACCAATTATAGACATTTAAGAATATTTGTCGAGATTTCATAGTTTATTTTGTTTAGGTTAGGTTTCAACTGTTTTATGTATATAGAAACAGACTATCATCACTGTGTTGTCCATGTATTGTTCAATATATTGTAATTGTCATCTTTGATAATGGCTTATGTAAGCCGAAAACTTAGATAGGATTAAAAATATATATATATATATATATATATATATATATATATATATATATATATATATATATAAATATTGTGATTTTCTTTCTTCATTTTAATAATGTTATTAAACTTACTAGACAATATGAAAAGAATTTACATAAAATAAATAGACAACACTTGTCTATGTTATTTAATGAAACATGCATCAATGAAAAAATGCTGCCTAAATATACACACACACACATATATATATATATATATATATATATATATATATATATATATATATAATACTGTTTGATGGCTTACTTTATGGGGGAATAATGCTTAGTATTAGGGATAGATCATTTGTGGAAATAAATAGCATGGATATAGAAATAAACACTGCAGTTTCATGTCTTAACATGCTAGAGGTCAATTATGAAATCTGACTTTAAACCAAAATTCAAATAGCCAACTTAGGCAATAAAAATTTTTATGAGTTGATTTTTAGCTTCAACTGAAGTCTTAACATTGTTTTCACATTAAAAATATTACAACAAGTAAATTCATTGTTGGCACCCACAAATGAAAATATATTAGAAAATGCATGAGATAACTCCTAGTCAATACTTTAATAAAAACAATGTGTTAAGCAATCATCAGGCCATATGTTATTCCTATATGGAATGACATAAAGGATTTATTTTTAATTTATATGGCTCTATATATAGGCCACTGGTGAATTATTTGAAATGAGAAAACAGTTTTTCTCAAATTTTGTTTTAGGCTAACATTTTAGATGATTCATTGTGCTAAACTTGAGTTTATTTATGAAGGTTATAAAATGTTAAAGGATCCATATTACCAATTTAAAATAATTTATTCAAATATGATATATTATGTTAATAAAATACATGTTTCTGTGGCCAATATCTTCTAGATTTATTCATAAATTAAAATTTAAACAGCACTTAAATTCTTGGCATAAATTCTGAAGCAGCAGTAACATATTACCAATATTTCAATAAGGATATCTAAAGCTGAAATTCATTTGATATATTGCTTATATAAGCATATCAATATTGTTTATTATTAACTTAAGTATAATCTAACAGTGTATATTAGAATTATATATATATATAACACAAGTTAACACTTTAATTAAACAGATTTTATGCCTACTGTACAATGTAAAAATAATATAGACAAGTGTGTGTGTGTGTATATATATATATTAAACTTGATCTATATTTATATATATATATATATATATATATAGAAAAAGTTTCAAATTAAAAAATAATAATGTTACATCAATTAGTATGGCTAATGTGTACACTAAAAGATATGCACTAATTAAAAATATATTAATCAAATATAATAACTTATAGGAAATGATGTAATTTGTTCTATTTTTGGAAATTGTCCAAACATATAATTATTAGTATTGCAACCTGAAGATTTTATGTAATCTTTTCATAGTAAATGCATACATACATTTTGATATTTCTTAATAAATTTAAATTTCTGTATCTAATTGTCCAATTTTTTAATAAAAATCAGAAATTTTCTTTTTAAGACTTTCAAAATAAATATGAAAAAAAAAATCAAAATATGAAAAAAATTTTCATAAAGGGATTCCAATATATGTGTGTGTGTGTGTGTATACATACATACATATATACATATACATATATGCATGTTTCATTAAAAACGACAGACAAGATGCTATAGTTAAGCTTTTTATTTAATTTTTCTTGTGTTCTGACAAGAGCTTTCTTTTCTGGACAAAGGGTGTGTAAGAACTGTCCAAATGTTTTATATTTCAGAGTGCTTTCAGCTATACCTTTAGCCATTATCAAGGATGATTCGATTTTCAGAAAAGAAAGCTCTTGTCAGAACACAAGTAAAATTAAATAAAAAGCTTAACCGTAGTACCTTGTCTGTCATTTTTAATGAAACATGCATAAAGGAAGGATTGCTGCCTAAATATACAACTATATATATATATATATATATATATATATATATATATATATAATATGAAATATCATACATTGAGTGATGGTGATAATAAAATAGTTTATAATGGAGAATAACATAGATATAATTTATATATTAATAATAAATATACATTTTCTTTTCCTTACAGGAACCATGACTGAGTTTCAGGCACAACACAATCTTCATATTTATATATTTTGCCATTTCTTTTACCCAGGAAAGATATGTATATCTCTTTGTATAACTTTATACTTATACGAAGCATGTACATACATATGTGATGTTATGTTTCTTGGATGTACCTACAGTTTATATATATTTTTTGGAAATATAGGAAGCTATATAATCACACATATATATATATATATATATTGTGTGAATGTTTTTATTTATATTTGAATGTGTTTATTATTTATATATATATATATATATATATATATATATATATATATATATATATATTTTTTTACATTATACTATACCAAAAATGATTATATGTAGATAGATACAAATATATTTTTGCTTGTACACTTTTTTTTATTTTTTTGTAAATGTGGCAATATCCAGATGTATCCTTATATATATGTATAATTACATTTTTGTAGTATGAGGTAAATAAATTGTGTGGATGTGTATATTGTATTGATTGATTTCAAATTAATTTTTTTTTATGTTTTTTATATATATATATATATATATATATATATATATAGATATTTTTTTTTGTAAACCCACCCCATAAATAATATGGACTGCTCTACTATCATTATAGTGTGGTATATATATGTCTCAAAATTTAAATTATGTAATGGTCAATTATCAATCAGCATCTGAAGATTGCATTGCACATGAAACACAGTCATGCTACTGTTGAAGAAAAACAATGTGTTTTTATCATATATATATATATATATTACACACACACCATAGATGGGTGTTTGCATTTGAGTTT